CAATGGAATGGATCTCGTATACCTGAGTGTTGATTAAGCTTAACATTATGGAGGAGTTGCCGAAGGTCATTAATATCGGGTTACCAAATGGATCCACTCTTCTACAACAAGTGGTTTACGAAACTCTTCCTACCCATTATAAAAAGTATCGCGTTATGGGCCATTCCATAGCCTCTTGTGTGACACCACCGGTATCAAGCGATCGGCCTCATGCAAGAGTGTGAATTGGGTGGTGATAGTGAGTCGAGCTAGACCTAATGATGCCGAGTGCAAGGGTCCTACTGCTTGTTGAAGTGCGGGCGCGGACTCCATCGATAAGGCCCGAGTCGACCTTATGTTTTTCGAGGTCGTAGTAGCTTCGGGGGAATGGCGGATAGTTACTCCCAAAGCCATCGCCAAAACAAGGTTGGCTCCTCGTGCACGAGTCTCAATTATTGGAGTCCGCTCGGTCGATGCCGAAAGCTCAAGCACGGGCCGTCGGGGGATCGAGCGGCCACGAAATCAGAATTGACTCTTCGGTATTCCAAGGGTAAAACTACGCAGCAGGACCCAAGTAGTGCGCCTCCGACGCTTGACACCGAGCCATAATCGGGCCGAGCGATCCGGGACCGGTAGGGGGCGAGGGCGGTGAGGCTTCAAAGTCGCTAGGGTCCGCGGGTTAGGTGGCATGATAGTGAGGTTTTTGACGAGGGTATAGTTTTCGGAGAGGTTTCGACGGCGCTTGTTATCTCTACGAGCCCATTTGTCGATGGCCTTCTTGAGCACTCGCTAGAGCGGTTTGTTTGATAGAAGAGTCGCGAGGTTAAACGCGATACTAAAGGGGTTCTCACCTCCTCGGCTGCCACATGATTATTTTCAGCTGGAATATGAGGGGTCTCGATAATTCCCTCGAAGCAACATGAGGTTCCGGGCCTCGTGCGATAGAAAAATATTGATGTTTGCGCTTTGGTAGAGACCAAGCTCGGTCTTGCCAAGATTTCTCAAATGAACCGTTTTCGATTTCGAAAGTGGAGGATTGGCTCCAATGGTTCGAAGGACACCAAGGCCCAAATTATCCTCCTATGTAATCCCGATGCCGCGAAGTGGATCTCCTTGTCGTTAATCCATAAGCTCTCAATGTTAGCATTTGCAACTTCGTCCAACGAGAGGGTTTTTCAAGCTACCTTTGTGTATGGTCACAACACAATTATTCAACATCGAGAGTTATGGGCAAACTTGTGCTCTTGGTTTTCTCGTTGTTCGTGGCTTGTGCTCGGGGACTTCAATTCCATTCTCTCGCGGATCGATAAACACAACGGCGTCGCGAGCACTACTTATGCGGTAATAAATTTTTGGTCTTGTTGCCTAGATGCGGGTCTCACCGATCCGTCATATTCGAGGAGCCACTTTACTTGAAACGGTGATACTATCTAGACTAAGATCGATCGAGTTCTTGCGAATTCGCTATGGTCCATGCTCCATCTTTCGGCCTCGATCCGTTTTAGCCCTTCCGGTAGTTTCTCCAATCATGCTCAAGCAAGGGTTTACCTTGACGATCGGACTCCTATTGGGCGACAACATTTCTAGTTTTTTAACATGTGGGCTCACCATGCTCATTTTCTCCCGCTGGTGGATCGGCACTAGCGATGTAACACCCTAAGCAATCCTATGTTTGCGGCTGTACCATAAGCTCAAGGCTCTCAAAAGCCCGTTAAAGATGCTCAATCAGCTCCACTTTAGTCATATTTCGGAGCGGGTTAGCCAAGCCTCCGAGGCCACAGAGACTCTTCGATAGGCCCTTCGGAATGATCTGCGATAGCCATTATCTCCTCGATCGGGAATGACGATTGTGGCTGGAATTGGTTAATCTTAAGTCCGTCAAAAAAGTATTCTTCATTCGAAGCTTAAGTGCCAATACTTAGAAGAGAGTGACAGGGGCAATTGATTTTTTCACACTTTCATGAGTCGAGTCACAGAAGAATTTTATAGCGGCTCTTATGGACACAAATGGGCAACCTACTACTTCATTAGCCGTTGTGAGGGGCCTTTTTGTTGATTATTTCAAAACTTTACTAGGCACGGCTAAGGCTACTAGTCCTATTGAGGTTGCCGTAATCTCCCGAGGGCCATGCTTAGCGGCTAGTGTGCATGACATGCTCCTCGCCACGATTTTCAATGAGACTATCAAGGTCACGTTATTTGGGATTGATAACAACAAAGCTCCCGGTCCGGATGGCTACTCTTCGCTGTTCTTTAAACATGCTTGGGGTGTAGTGGGGAAGGACTTTTGTCTTTGCGGTGAAGAATTTCTTTAGCTTGGGTTAGCTCCTTAGGCAATTCAACCACTCGGTGATTGCTTTGATCCCTAAATCAACTAATGCATCGTTGTTGGTGGATTATCGATCGATATCGTGCTTGCAATGTGGTGTAAAAAGTTATTTTGAAGATTGTCTCCTTTTGATTAGCCAATGCTTTGGTTGATATTATCGACCTATGCAAAATGCATTCTTAGAAGGTAGACAAATCTCGGCCAATATTCATCTTCTTTAGGAGCTCCTTCGACGAGTATGGTCGTAAGCGTGCCTCGTCGCATCGCCTTCTCAAAGTGGACTTCAAAAAAGCCTTTGACTCGGGTGCGGTGGTCATTTTTATGAGATCTCCTCCGTCATCTTGGCTTTCCTAGCGCTTTTGTCCACTTGATTATGACCTGTGTGGAGACCCCTTCTTATTCGATTTCGATCAATGATAAAATCTTTGGCTTCTTCAAAGGCCAAAGTGGTATTCATCAAGGTGATCCTCTCTCTCATTCCCTCTTTATTATGTGCATGGAGTACTTCTTCCGCATGCTCAAGCTTTCTACCGCAACGACAGATTTTCGATATCACCCTCGGTATGGGCCTCTTTGAATCATTCATCTTACATTTACGAATGATATCATGCTCTTTTACCGAGGGATAGAGCCTCCGTGTAGTGCTTATCATCCCGACTGAGTCAATGCCTCCAAATCCTTTATTTATTTTGGGGGAATCGAGTGCCGACCTTAAGCAAACTTTACTCCAAGATATTGGGTTTATCGAAGGCACCTTCCCTTTTTGATATTTTGGGGTTCCACTCGGCGCGCATCGCCTTCTCGCTAGCCAATTCTCTCCGTTGTTTCGGAGCACGGAGTCGACGGTGCGAGGCTTGGTTGGGCAAGCATCTCTCGTATGCGGGCCGTCTCGAGCTTCTCGAGTCTATTCTCACGGGCATTATACGGTTTTGGTTAGCCATCTTCTCTATTCCGTCTATGATCATTTCCTATATCACTAGCCTCTCGTCGAAATTTCTTATGGATTGGGGGTATTCGAAAATATCATTCAGCTTTGGTTTCCTAGAAGGTGCTAAGTTATCTAAAGTCGGAAGAGGGTTTGGCGGTTTGGGATCTCAAAAAGCTCAATCAATGCTTTCTCGCTAGGCGGCTTTGGGACATCCATCGCAAAACTGACTCGATTTGGATCAATGGGTTCACCATTTCTACTTAAAACACTCGTCGATCTAGGATGCTCAAGTGCATCGGACGGCCTCACCTTTATGGAAGGGTATTCTTTCGGTCGGAGACATGCTCATAGAGGCTTTTGGGGATAATGTTCAATTGATAGGGTGCTTGGAAGATTAGGGCGAGAGGGAAATTTGTCCATAATGCCTACAATGGTCTATGCTCGACGGGGGCCTTGGTAAATTGAAATCGAGTTGTTTGGGAACCATGGACCCTGCTCGTGGCATGCCTTTGTTCTTCGGTTAGCGGTTCATGACAAGCTAAAAAATGCTGATCGTCTTCGCCTCGTCCCGAATGATACCAACTCGCTCGCTCCGTCGGCTAGCTCTTGAATGCCATTGCCATCTCGTTTTTTAAGTGTCATTGGACGACCGGCCTATGGGGTCGGACTCGGGGTTGGCTCGGAATTAATCATAGCATGTCCACCCTTGCTAGTGCCATTCGGGGTCTCTCAATTCGACGTAATAATCCGGAAGCCCGAATGCATCCGGTTTCGTTGGCCATCATCGTATATCCGATTTGGGAGAAGCGCAACAAGAGGCTTTTCGATGGCTCACTCTCAACCATTGCTTGTCTCTTCGGGAAGTTTTAGATCCTCTTCTTCATGATCTTTCATTTCCATGAGAAAGACCACATTCATCTATATGTTGGTTAGTAGTCACATTTGGTTTTGTAAATGGTTTACTTTTGGTCTTGTCGGCAAGATTTTTATATCCTGTTGAGCCTTATTAATGGTTCCAAATAGCTAGCACAGGTTTACTTATGGGTTTTTCTTGAAATCTATAATACTAGATTCCTTGAACAACTTTCTAGTTCTAGCTCTCTTTTGCTTAGTTTCTATGGGAGCCTGTTCCCATCTACTTGTATATCCTGTATATGTAACTTTAGCTAGTTCTCCAATACTTTTCTCCTTTGATTAATATACTAACCTTTTAATAAAAAAAAATCAAGCAAATGTAGTTTATAATATTATATTGTTCCTACCAACACAATCCAACACAAGAAAAAATTTTAGCCTTTTATTTTATTTTATTTTTGGTTTTATTTCTTCATTTTTTCGGTAGCTCCAAAAGTGTTAAGGAGTCTGTTTTGAGAAGGGTTTTGTGGTTGTTTTGGTGGGTGTTTTTGGGGTGTTTTTTAGATTTTTTAAAAATCTATTTTGGGTGTATTTTTAAGGGCTACTTTGGTGGTTTAAGGGGGATGCACGAAAAGGGATTTCTTTAAGTGTTTTTGGGGTCGTTGGTAATGGTTGTAAGACTGATTTTTGGAGGGTTTTTTGGTGGGCTTTTCAAGTCTGCTTTGGGGTTGTTTTTTTTTAGGCTACTTTTAGGGTGATTTTATGTGTGGTTTGTAGCTAATTTAAGGGCTAGTTTTTTAGCTTTGAAGGACAATGGAGTGGTGGTTTTGGTGGTCGTGTTTCGGTCGAATTTAGGACTGGTTTTAGGGTTTGGTGTTTGTGGTCGTGTGGGGCGAGAGAGGTGTTAGAATGGGTGTGGTTGGTTGTGGAGTAGTGTGTGATGAAATACCGGCTAGTGAAAGGGTGCTTATGCAAAGGTCGTGTGCATATGGGGCGAGTTTGGTGCTTGTTTGTGCACAATAAGGTGTTGTTGGAGCACGTTAGATAGGCATGTCTTGGTATGTTGTTGGAGCTAACGCGCACCCGAGGAGGAGGTTGGAGTTGCAAGTCGTAGGCGTGATTGTGCTTGGGTAGAGGAGTTGCGAGGGGAGAGCTTGGCGCCGCAAATGGGGATGGCATATGCCTTGGTCAACTGCCGGTGCGCGAGGGAGAGGGCTATGTGGGTGCTAGCATGCTCGGTGCACTAAAGAAGGCTAGAGTGGCATATAGGAGAGGGGCGGCTAGCGGGCGGTGGGTAGGGTTGTTGCAACGGAGGCTGGCGAGGCACGTAAGAAGACTTGGCATGGGGCTCGCAAGAGAGAGGGGGTTGGCGAGGTGATGTGGGCATGTGAGGGGGCGATAGGCGTGGGGATTGGAGCGCTTGGTATGGGGCTATTATGTGGGAGAATTGGTTGTGGTAGCTAACGATTTTTTTTTTTTTTAAAGAGATGATGAACGGTAGCCACCTCTTTTTTTTTTTTTTTTTTTTGAGAAAAATGGCTTTTATATTGATTTTTAGGATTTTTGGCTAAAGTTTGGTTTAGTCCCTCATCCCGCTAGGTTGCTTTATTTTGGTCCTTTTATCCTCTTTTTTTTTAATTAAATCCCTTAATTTTTTTTGAGAAAAAATTTGAGGGTTAATAGTTTTTAAATTATTACTATGGCATTTAATAATTAATAATTAATAATTATAAGTAATAATGTATATATTAAAAATAAAATAATACCAATAATATCATTCTGGAATACGTTCTATAAAAAAGAAAAAAACAAAGTGACTAAATACTCTATTAATCATTCCGCTCGTCTTATCTCATATCTTTATCCCGATACTATGTGGAGGGCTCGACTGGATGATCGACCGGAGGCCGAATTGGAGGTTGAGTGGAAGGAACGATAGATTGTCGATCGATCAATAAATCTATAGAGACCCCGGTTGTTTGTGCCGACCTCATCACTAAGGATGCCATCGACTTGTACCGAGATTTCGAATATAAATAGTCCGATGCTACTCTTAGATCCGGCTACGTCGCTTCTGCAACTTGGCTTTGAAGCTCATCTTGTGTCACTTGCATCCCCTTCATCGCTTCCTTTATAGCCTTGTAGTCCCTCCGAAGCTCTTTGTTAGCCGAATCGATGGTGTAATGTGACGTCATAGAGGAAGAGCTATCGCCACTCGATTGAGACAAATAATGCACCGAATGTGTGCCTATACCATAAAATCTTTTTTCTTCTCACCAATGACCTCGAGGTATATGGCATTCTAGTCAACTTCGACTCAAAAATTCCTTTCGTCCTCCGAGCCGTAACTACCTCATTTATGAGTCGCTCCACATGCTCTACGTAATTAAAATAATGATATCATTATTAGAGGATTAAAATAAAATTTGAATTATCTTTTCATATTTAATATTTTTGTTGAAAAACACTTACCATTGTTTGATGGGAGCGCAGATTGACAAATGAACCATCTCGTCGCTTATTAGTCATCTTGAACAACTCAAAACTTGTTGGTTGACAATTTAATTTTTCTACATAGAAAAAATCCATCACAAAAAATATGAGAAGAAAATTAAAATTTTATGAAATAATTCAATAATAATAAAGAATGTGAAATTTACCAAATGACGGGCATGCTCTTCCGAAGATATGGAGCCCCCTGTATCCCTAGAAGGACTCGCATCGGGACCACCGATCTTTGACAATCGGTTCCGTGAAGCTTGCTCCGAATGAGCCACGTGATCGGGTCTCCTATAATCTGCTCGCCATGTATCCCGGACCTCCCGACTAACATAGGTAGGTCGATCATTTCTCTTACTCATCTTACGGATGAAGTCGGCATAGCGTTTGCGGGCGACACCCTCCCATGCCACCTGACAAGCTCATCAATGTCCTCATCCCATGCAAAAAATTTCCGCACGAAGAAAAAAATTTATATAATTTATGTAAGAAATTATTATTTTAACTATAAAAAAAATTGATAACCCATTACCTAAAATTCACTAAAGTAGAAGTCTTTAGTGATGTCGGTGAAACCTTTCCAAGATGATCCACTCTTATCTACCCATTCCTTAATAATCTCAATGATCCTCATAGCATAATCTCTAGTGTATGGAGTCAAACTATCAAACAATAAAACAATGAAAGAAATATTAAAAACAACACATCAATTATTGAAATTACATATTAAAGTAAAAAAATAAATGCATACTATCCTCGATCGATAGAAACAATATGTTGCCGACTGGAGAAGATATGACAACTCTCCGGAATGTTAGATACGTGATCGAAGGTGACACTCTCGAAGGTCGACCATGGAACCTTAGATGTTGATATAGGAACACCTATCGATGTAAATGTGTTGGCTCCATGACTGCGGGAGATGTGGGATCCATGAAAAAGGCTTGTCGTCGAAGACCCATGACCGATATCGGTAGGGGATCCTAACGGACTACCCTCGGATGGTGATGCTCATCCACGATTATCGAAACGTGATTCGATAGTGACTACGAGGGGAAAACGCAAACCACAATTACCATGAGTCATTGTTGTATGATCTAACATTAAAAAAATAAACAAAATATAACAAATATATTGTTAGAGTCAATTAATAGTTAATTAAATTAAGATACATCATTTATTATGGATATAAAACAATCAAAATACACAACGAATATTTAGTGGAGGTAGAAAAATAAATATTATTAACTGCATGTAACAAATTAATAAAGAGATAAAAATTACATCATTTGTTACTAATACAACAAATGAAATATGAATTTAATTAAAATTATCGTAATCATTGTTTAAGTTATCATCTCCATCATCCTTAGGTCGAATAATAAACCTAATCTAAACCAAACATTTACTTTTAATTTCAACACTAATTTTTCATATAATTTCATTCAATTATACCTAATTTAACTCAATTATGCATTAATTAATCAATTATATGCATAAACTCCAAATTCGGTCTTATTGGGCCTAAACCTTGATTTAGGTAATTGAAGCTAATTTTTCAATTTAAATGTGATTTTTCATTCTATCTCATCTAATTACATTATTCTAAGTCTAAATTAATTAATTGAAGTTTAAATTTAGGTATTAAGTTTAAGATGTTTGGGCTGAATGGATTCCTAATTAAGGGATTAAGTTAAAATTTTTAATTTTTACTTAAATACATGAAATTTTAAATATTTTAAAGCTTAAAACATTTATTTTTATTAAATTTTCCTAACTAATTCAATAATAAATTCAACTAAATTTAATTTAATTAATCCTAAATAAATTTTTTATTAAATTCTATTAATTAATAAAATGTTTATTAAATTTTAACATTTATGTTTATTTTCCAATTACATTTTTATTCCAATTTTTTTAATTTCCAAACTAAATTACATAAATTAATTTTTTTATAATTTAACTATAAATGAAACTAAATAAAATGTTTATCAAATTCTATTAATTAATAAAATATTTATTAAATTTTAACGTTTATGTTTATTTTTCAAATACATTTTTATTTTATTTTTTTAATTTACAAACTAAATTATATAAATATATATTTTTTAAAATTTAACCATAAATGAACTTAAAATAAATTACATAAAAGAAATTAAATTAATAATATTTAGCCTAAAAAATTAACATAATTAAACTTTTTAAATTTTACATTAACATAAAGTTAACCTAAAAATTAACATCACTAAAAAAATAACACTTAACAACGCCAGTTTAACGAGTGAATAAAATTAAATAAATAATTCATAATTTAAATGAACAATTAAGAAATTTACACTAATAATTAACATACAACTTAACATATTTAAAAATTAACATAACAACAAATAACTAATCAACAACATTCAAATAATTAATCAACTAACAAATAACAAAATCAATCTACAAAATTATTAACGTTTATTTAATTTAAACAAAAACATAAGAGTTAGAGAGAGAGAAAGTTTTACCCGAGAGATCAAGAGAATAGATCTTGTCTAAATTGAGGAAGAAAGTTGCACCTTACTTTGTTGAACAATTTAGAGAGTCACTCGATGGTGTGGAGCAACATGGTTATTTGGTCGAGGAGAGGGAGAGGAATGGGGAAGATGAAAGGAGAGGGGCCATTTATAGGGGCTAGTGGTAGATTTTCTCATCTAAAGTTAGCGACGGATTATTTATCTATCGCTAATTCTCTCTACTTTCTTATCACGAGCTTAAAATTAACAATGGATTTGACTCCGTCGCTATGTTGCATGTCAAATTAGTGACAAAATAGTGACGGATATTCATCCATGGCTAATTAGTGACGGAAATACATCACTAATCCGTCGCTAAAAGTGACGCTTTATTTTTACCATATAAATTTACGATGAAAAAAAATCTATCGCTAATGTCTCACCTCTAATCCATTGCTAAAGAGTTGCAAACATCAACTTTGTATATCGGTCACTAACTAGTCATTCATTTGTCGCTAATTAAAGATAGAATGAACGTCATCGCTAAAATCCATCGCTAATTGATAAATTCCTTGGAGTGATATATAAAATTTAATAAAATGAAATATATATTATAGTATCAACTTATGAAATAATTTTAAATTTTGTTAATATTTTTTTTCAAAAAGGCTAGAAACGATTTGTAGGGCACTAGTCGGAGGAGCAATAAGATCATCGATCAAAGGATTGGTGGATGAACCGCCTCTATACTTATTTAGTAACATTTGCTTCATTTACTGCATCATCGCATGTTACTCACGAGCATATTGTTACAAATCATTTGTAGTAGCTAAGAGCAATGTAACGATGCCCTCTAGTTTTTTGATCTTTTCTATTTGTCTAGAATTAAGAGCCTCCATTTCTTTTTGTTGTGCCTTAATATCGACATGGAACTACAAAATAGCCAAGCTAAAAGATGTATTAACATTAGAGTAATAATGAGAGGCTTGTGTGAAGGATCATGCATCCTATGGAGGTGCGAAATAAAATAAAAACTTTTCTCCATCTAAAGTTCCCAAGATCATGTCGTTAAATTAACTAATCATACATGCATGAATTCAAGCATAAATAAAGGATTACTTCTTATAGCGTAGAATTAAACCTTTGTAGAAAAGGATTCATCTAAGCATCGGACCTCTATTAATAATCCACGTAGTCCAAAGACGCACATAAAAAGCACTCAAAATTTGTAGAGTGCTAGCTCCATCTTTTACGAAGTGTTTAGTATTTTTCCTTTAGAAATCTATCTAGGGATATTCTACAACAAACCTAATTTAGAGGGGAGAGGTGACGTGTAGCATCCTTAATCTAATTCCTTACAAAAACTTCATATAACTTAGCA